TTTAGAACAAATTTTAATGCAGTTATACTCCACTTTAGATGATTCCAATCTTATTGGCAACATCTAAGGCATCATAATCTGGAGCCAAGTGCACATAGGCTTTCTTTTCACAATCAGACCTAATTAATGTATTAACCTTTGATACTTCAATATCGTACAGTTTCTTGACAGCCATCTTTATCATGGGCTTGTTAGCACGCTTGTCGACAATAAATACAAGAGTATTGTTGTCTTCAATTTTTTTCATGGCAGACTCAGTGGTCAGAGGGTACTTAATCAATGCATACTGATCAAGTTTGTTACTCTTGTTCACACTCTTGCGTGGATATTTGGGAGCCCTGGGCAGCTTAAGGGTTTTTGGACGACGGAAATGTACAGATGTCCTTATTTTGCGGTTTCTTTTGTCATGTTTACCGATGTCATGTATTTGATTATTAAAAAAATTGTAAAGGATGACAGTAAAAGGGGTGACCTATTATGGGAGATTAATATACCTTCAGTTGCGCCCTATATAAAAGAAATATTTAGCAAAACAATTAAAGGTTTTAACTTAAGATATGAAATGAATTTTTATTCGTACACTAGTAAAAGCTTAAAAATATAATTCGATTAGCTATAAAATTGTTATACATTTTCCAAAACTAAATCACATACAATATATTTGTCTGTATGTTATATTTATTTACATTTTACATTGTGTTGAACTAAGGGAGTTACCTCCCTTTGCTAAATTTCGGTAGTATGAAAGGGAAGTAATTAGACATTACTTGTCACACATTCACGTAGACACATTAGTTATGGGATAGAAGTGTTGAGTAAGTCATTTCACCAATACGTATTCACGTGTTATGTATTTCTTTTATCTAGGCATTCTACGTTATCTGCTGGTCTGGCTTCAGTGATTTTTTTCTCGTATTTTGTTATATATATATTATCAATTGTATTAAAAATATTTGTTTTGAAATAAAATATGTTTATAATAATTTATATTTATTTGTATTTATGTAATACAATTATCTGCCATGTATTTTAAATCTAATATGAAACAGAACATTGCATTCGTACCTGCATTAAGACATCAACAACAATAATCTATTCAGCCTGTTTTTTAACACTACACTTAAATCCTTGAATTAGCCTGTTTTTCAACACTGTCATTTAATCACTGTATCAGCGTAGTTTTGAAAACTGTTGCTTAATCTCTTGAAGTATTCGTATGC